AGCCTCGCAGCAGAGTTCTGGACCAACTGGAGACGAGCGACGGCAGTTTTGTTAAAACAAGTAAAAAGGGAATTACAATAATCTCAACGAGAAGAAATAAAAGCATGAATAATCATCTCCAGGTCAGATCTGGATAACATTGCCCTCAGTTTAGAAATGTTTCTCAGATGATAAAAGCAGTTTTTTACCAGAAGCTTTGAATGTTTGTCCAAAGACATGGACTGGTCGAACAGAACACCGAGGTTTCTGAGGTTCGGCTGAGAAGAGGAGCCCAGAGAACCGAGGTGTTGTTTAATCCAAGGAACTTTCTGTTCAGGGGCAATGATCAGGGTTTCCGTCTTGTTAGAATTCAACTGAAGGCAGTTGTTAGCTAACCACGCCTTAATATGTGAAACACAGTTTACTAATTCAGCTAACTTATGTAATTCTGAGTCATAAAAGGAACAGTACAGTTGAATATCATCAGCACAGAGATGGTAAGACACATTTCTGAAGCTACTGATAATCTTTCCCAGGGGGGTGATGTACAGAAGGAACAGAATAGGACCCAACACTGAACCCTGAGGAACACCATTCAGTAACGGAGTGGTCTTAGACTGTATGTTATTAACAAACATTGAAAAGGTTCTGTTGTTCAGATAAGAAGAAAACCACTTAAGAACAGTTCCAGAAAATCCCATCTCATGTTGCAGTCGATGTATCATAATTTTGTGGTCGACTGTGTCAAAAGCTGATGATAGATCCAATAAAATCAAAACACTGCTCTGACCAGAGTCTGCAGCCATCAATATGTCATTGGAGACTTTTAATAAGGCAGTTTCAGTGGAGTGCATCTTACGGAAACCAGATTGAAACTTATCAAGAATATTATTATTATGCAAGAAAGTAGTCATCTGCCCAGCCACTACCTTCTCAAGAATGTTGGTGAGAAAAGGTATTTTTGATATTGGCCTGTAGTTGCAGAGCTCAGTGGGGTCCAAGTTGGGCTTTTTCAAGATCGGATTTAAAATCGTTTGTTTCAAAAAACTTGGAACTGACCCAGTTGAAAGAGAGATGTTAATTAATTCTGCCACATGGGGGCTGACAATATCAGACACCTTTAAAAACAGTGATGTGGGTACAACATGTAGCATGCAGGAAGAAGGTTTGATCTTTTTTAGAACAACCTTCACATCCTCTAAAGTGACAGGTGAAAATGAAGACCAGGGGCTCACTGTAGGGACAGAACTGGGGGTGACACCAAGAGCTGATTTAACACTTGCCCTGATGTTGTCAACCTTTTCCACAAAATAGTTTAAAAATCTATTGCAGTCATCTGATGTGAATACAGGCACCAGAGGGAGTGAAGGTGAAATCATATTATTAATGGGATCAAACAAGACTTTTGGATTTTTCTTGTTCATACTCACAAGATTAGAAAAATATGCAGACCTGGCCTGTTTAATCATTTCATTTAGAGTTGAGATCAGCTCCTTTAAGTGTAGTCTGTGGACTTCAAGTTTTGTAGATTTCCTCAAACGCTCTACCTTACGACATGATCTTCTGAACAACACAATTTCCTCATTTCTCCAAGGACAAGAGTTTTTACGAGAGGATATTTTGTGCTTTACAGGAGCAACCTCATCTAAGACAGACAGGCAGTGACTATTAAAAGACTCCACAAAGGAATCAGCATCACTGCAACTAGCGAAACAACTGGACTCAAAAGATTCTGAGAATTTCTCAACAGCAGATTGATTGATAATTCGCCTTTGAGAAATCACTTTATGAGGACAACTGTTGAGGTTAAAAGACAAATTAAAATAGACGCAGCAGTGGTCGGTGACAGGAACATCCACCACACTCAGCTGGTCAATGATGAGACCAAAAGAGAAGACAAGGTCCAAAGTATGGCCCTTCTTATGTGTAGGCCCAGAAACATGCTGTTTAAAATGAAACGCCTCTGTGAGTGACAGTAACTCTGATGCTGAATTGTAGGATGAGTCATCAATATGAATATTAAAATCACCAAGAATTAAAATTTTCTCAAGCTTGATAACAGAAGATAAAAATTCAGAAAAATCCTCTAAAAACGCACGGGCAGGACCAGGAGGTCTGTAAATTAAAACACAATAAAATGAGTCAAAATTCCCAACCTTAGTCATCTGTAGTTCAAAAGAGCTGAAAGGATCTGGCTTCATGAGCCTGCAGGAAAAGTAGTCCTGATAGATGAGCGCAAGTCCGCCTCCTCGCCTGGCAACCCGCGGGGTCCCAAACACGGAACAGTTTGGAGGACACAGTTCATTCAGATGAATAAATTCCTGCTCCCGTTGCCAAGTCTCTGTCAAAAACATTAAGCCCAGACTTTCTTCATTGAACAAATCCCCAAGGATAAAAGCTTTATTCGCTATGGAGCGAGCATTCAACAGGGCGATCCGTGTTGGTTTTACGCGCACAGCTGCAGGTGTGCTCTGGGCTACCGGACATCGCAGCGGCAAACTAGGTCGGTCCACATACCTCTCCTGGCAGGAGACAGTTCGAAGGAACCGGTCACGCAGTGTGGGGAGCCGGGCTTGACGAGTTGGGAATTTCTGATCAGCATGCCACAGTGCCGGTGACACACAGAACGGGTAAGGCGCACAGGACAGGGCCGGTTTGGAGATTGGTACCGGCCGGAGGCAGCGCTCATTTCCAGCAGAGCTGGATCCGCTCAGCCATGACGTTTTCCCTCGCTGTTTCCTCATCCTGGCCTGGACGCCAGCTCTAGATCCCCGCTTTCTTCTCCGGCCTCGTTGCTTTGCCAGCAGCAGGTATTCGGGTGATGACGTGGCACATTCAAAACGTAGAGGGAAAAACTCCGCATACCTGGCCCAGGTAACGCAGGTATCCTCCATATAATATTTTATGGAAAATAACGTGTGCCGATCATATTGATATTGATTAACAGCCAAAGTAAAGTTGTTTGATAGGCTAGATAAAGCAAAATATAATACTAAACAAATCACAAGAATATGAGACAGATGAGACGGAACAGAAGTCCAGCCGTACACAGGCACCATCTTGGATGTATGTATTAATCTGTCCTCCAACTCTAATGTTAAAAATCTTGGTGTTATTTTTGATCAGGACATGTCTTTTATCCCCCACATTAAAAACGTTACTAGAACCTCCTTCTTCCACCTGCGTAATATCACTAACATTAGAAACATCTGATCTAAAGATGATGCAGAAAAACTGGTCCATGCATTTGTCACGTCTAGACTGGACTATTGCAATGGTTTATTATCTGGGTGTCCAAATTCTTCTTTAAAACATCTTCAGTTGATCCAAAATGCTGCTGCTTAACTGGAGTTAGTAGGATAGATCATATACATAAATTGAAATGAAATTAATTGTATTACTACTTTGTAGTTTTTCACGTATCATGGGGTGGCTGAGAACAGAAACTCCCACGATAAACGAAGGACTACAGTACAGTACACTATGATCATCATGACCTCATCAGCCGTGACTTCAGGCTTAGAGTACAAAATGTGAAGAAAACATGAACTCATCATCAATTGTGGACATCAGGCTTCTGCTGGTGTGAATGATCAATGGATTGTTTTTGAGAAATAGTAAATGGAATGGTAAGTGGACTGTACTAATATACAGTAGCACTTTTCTATCTTATCAAGAGACTCACAGCATTTTAACACTACAATCTGTGCCCTCATTTACTCATTCATACAGCACTCTACTGTTTCTGTTCATGGAATGATCAGTGTTTTAGATCACATTCATACACCAATGGGACACACATCGGAGGCAATCAGGGGTTCACTGTCTTGCTCAGAAACTCTTAGGGATGTGACTGCTGGTGGAATCAAACCCCCAACTCTTGCATTGAAGGATGACTGCTCTAACCACCCAGCCACAGCCGCCCCATGAAACATTTGTTTCATAAACTTGAAGAACAGTTAAAAAATCAACAATTGTTTAGCTAACCATTAGCCTAGCCCATAGGCACCACAACAATTATATGTGAAGGGGACTTGTGCCTCCCATATTAAAAAAAAATCATTTGGAATCCCCACACACACACATTTACCATGAAATATAAATTCACCCAGCGCTGTTTCCATTTCTTCCTGAATGAATCCATTCCACTTGATTAAAATTAGAATTCTCAAACCACTAATGTCCACTCCATGTTTTCCTGATTACCTACAACAACTCCACACCAAGGTCATCTGTCTTGGCAGGGCGCTCACAGGAGGAGGGAGAGACACATCTGTTTTGCACGGGGGGAGATGCATGAGAGAAGCAGAGTGTGCTCTATTCACACAAGGAGGGCTATTTGTCAGGCTACTTCTTGTTGTGCCATTATCTCTAAAATAGTTATTGAATCAAGCATTTACTTATGTGGGTAAACAGTCTGCTGAAATAAACCAGAATGATGCAGGAAATGGCATCTACTTGATTAAAAATTTTGAATTTTGACCCCACAGAACCCCCACCAATGTGTCTCACCCCCCAACCTCCACATTACAAATGCTTCTGATTCCAATAGCCTAGCCTGAACAAAAACTTTTGCCTTTTTCTTGTTCCTTTATGCTCCCTGACTGATGTCACGGCTAAGAAATTACTACTATCACACGGAACATCACCAAACTTTTAATAACTCATGCGGTTTCAGGCCTCCTCAGAGCTCCAGTCATCTGTACAGGGTTAATGCAAATGTTTTCATAACACAAAATTGATTATTCAGATGAACAGGAACAAATAAAACTTTCCAAACAAGGACAATCGTTAATACACCTAATCTGTCTTAAACACAACATCCATTTTGCATTAATAATTTGTTATAATTATGAGTTCAAGTTAAAAAAAAATGACTACATGGTCTGTGTAATCTGTTTCATTCCTGTCTTAATTTGTCCCATTGCTTCTACAAAATGAATCCTTCGTCTACCTCCACTTAACTCCAGGAAGTGAGTCTGTTTGAGGCCATTTCTGAGTCCACATGAGTGTTTCTATCCTCATCCCAGGATATCCAGATAAACGGGTGCAGCTTTCACCAGAACAACAAGCTTCTTCTGAATGTCTTTAATGACGAGGCGCTGTTGTGGCTCCCTTTGCCAGCAACCCAGCATCATGTCATAGACCTCCTTGGGGCAGAGTCTTGGGCACTCCAGTACCTTTCCTTGAGTAATGCACTCTATTACCTGAAAAGAAGAAAAGTGGTAAAAATGATTAAAGGTGATTTTCACAGAAGAAACATGCTGCAACAAGCCAGTGTCAGTTAGTCTGCTGGACATTTGATGGGAAATGAATCCTTCCAAAATGAAACACAAGTACCACTGTAGCCCCTGATTTCCCTGCAGAGGCATGACTTAACTTTGTTGGATACCAGTCATGCAGTCTGCCACCAGCTGGTGTTTTTATTCAAACAAGAGCAGAGAACATTAAATACATTAAATAATTAAATATATTCACCACTGACACCAGTGGAACTCCAGTAAGCCCTAAAAAGCATGTCAAATAAAAAGGCTCCAGGTCCAGATGTATTTCCAGCAGTTCTACAAATAATTCTGGAATATCCTGGCACCACTATTTCACAGAATGCTACAAGAAACTGAGAAAAATAACAGACTTCCAAAAAATATAAATTTTGCCAACATTAGTCTCCTGTTAAAACCAGGCAAAGATCCTGTATTACCTACCAGTTATCGTCCCATATCTCTTATCAACGTTGATCTTAAAATAATTTGTAAAGCCCTCTCAAAAAGATTAGAAAAGGTAACTCCTCTAATAATACATCCAGACCAAACTGGTTTTATAAAAGGGAGACATTCAGCCACAAATTCACGCAGATTATTTACTTTAATTGATTATTCTTACAGTAAAAATATTGAAACTGCAATATTCTCTCTAGATGCAGAAAAAGCCTTCGATAGAGTTAACTGGAAATTTTTATTTGCAGCCTTACATAAATTTGGTTTTGGAAATTATTTCATAAACTGGTTAAAAATATTATACAGTTCTCCTTCAGCATGCATTAGGACAAATAATCAAATATCTGCTAGCTTTCTTCTGCAAAGGGGCACCAGGCAGGGATGTCCACTCTCCCCCTCACTGTTTGCTATTTTCATCGAACCGCTAGCCGCAGCAATCAGGCAAACTACAGATATTAAATCCAAAAAAGTTCAATCTGGTCCTCTGGACATTCAAAAAAAACAAAAAACAAAACAAAGCAAAAAAATGTAGAAACGTTTTGTCCCTCATCCTGAGGACTTCCTCAGTCTGAGCTGCTGTTTTCAGCTCAGTCTCTTAAATAGCACCGTCTCAGAGTGGATCAACCAGTTTGCTGCTGACAACCAGAACCAGCTGATCACATGCTCAAGAAGGACCATCAGCCTAACAATGGATAATTAACACACTGATGGCTGTTTACTGTTCACAGAGGGCTGAGTGATACTAGCAATCACAGCATTGTAAGAGGGGGACAGTTGAACACGGAGGCCTCCACCTCTGTTTAACGATGGACGGTTTCTTTTCACAAAGATGGCCTCCTTTACTCCTCTCTCAAACCATCGTTCCTCTCTGTCCAGGATGTGAACATCTTCATCCCTGAAAGAGTGACCGCTGGCCTGGAGATGAGTGTAGACCGCAGAGTCCTGGCCTGATGATGTTGATCTTCTGTGCTGGGCCATCCTTTTGGCCAGTGGCTGTTTAGTTTCCCCGATGTAAGACTGATCACAGCCCTCCTGACACTGAACAACATACACAACATTACTCTGTTTGTGCCGGGGGACTGGATCTTTGGGATGAACCAGTCTTTAATGTATTTTGGGGTTTAAAAGCCACTGGGACGTTATGTTTAGAAAATAAACGTCTCAGTTTCTCTGATACTCCCTCAACATACGGAATGACCACTGGTCTGGGTCTGGGTTCCTCCTTTTCACCTGATGGCTGACTGGAGTCCTGTTTGGGTTTCTTCTCTGCTTTCAGGAAGGCCCAGTTAGGATATCCACATTGCTCTAGAGCCTGTTTTGTGTAGGATTTCTCCTTCTGCCTGGCTCCTGAGCTAGTGGGGACGCTGTCTGCTCTGTGATACAGAGTCCTGATGACTCCTAACTTGTGCTCCAAAGGGTGATGGGAGTCAAACTGCAAATACTGGTCTGTGTGGGTGGGTTTGCGGTACACCTCGGTTTGCAAATGTCCTCTATCAGAGACTGAGACCTCACAGTCCAAGAAAGCCAACTTGCCATTTTTTTCATCTTCTCGTGTGAACTTGATGTATTTATCCACAGAGTTGATGTGGTCAGTAAAATGTTGGACTTCCTGAGATTTAATTTTAACCCAGGTGTCGTCAACATACCTGAACCAATGACTTGGTGGTGTCCCTGAAAAGGACGTCAAGGCTCTCTTTTCTACCTCCTCCACATGGAAGTGATAATAAAATTGATGAACAAAATAAACTGGTATCAATATTTTCATCTCCACAGTAGGTTTGGTGTCAAGGAAAAGAAACCAGGAAGGACTGATGGTGGTGGATTTTGCCAAGAGAATGGAAATGGCTGTAGTCAACATATATTTCCAAATGAGGGAAGAACATAGAGGGACCTATAAGAGTGGAGGAAGGAATATGCAGGTCGACTACATTCTGTGTAGAAGAGGAAACCTGATGGAGATTGGAGACTGTAAGGTTGTGGCAGGGGAGAGCATGGCCAGACAGCATTGGATGGTTGTGTGTAGAATGACCGTTGTTGTGAAGAAGAGACAAAGAGTAAAATCAGAGAATAAGACCAAAAGGTGGAAGCTGAAAAAGGAAGCATGTTGTGAGAAATTCAGAGAGGAGCTGTTAAAGACTATGGGTAGTAAGAAAAAGCTTCCAAATAACTGGGCTACTACAAGGTATTTAGAGAGACAGGTAGAAAGGTATTTGGTGTGTCATCTGGACAGAGAATGGATGATAAGGAAAGCTGGTGGTAGAATAGTGAAGTGAAGGACGCCGTCCAAAGCAAGAGCTTAGCCAAGAAAAAACATGACAATGAGAAGACTGAAAAGAGGAGACAGGAATATAAGGAGATGGGATGTAGAACAAATAGGGAGGTAGCTAAGGCAAAGCAGAAGGTGCATGATGAGTTGTATGGGAGGCTGGACACTAAAGAGGATGAGAAGGACTTGTACCGATTAGCAAGACAGAGGGATCAGGCTAGAAAGGATGTACAGCAGATTAGGCTTGTTAAAGATAGGAATAGTAATGTTCTAACAAGTGAAGAGAGGGTAGTGAATTCGGCCATCTGATCAAAACCTGCCTCTGAAGACCTTCATGGGACAGGAACTGTTATTTCATTGATTTGAATCCAGAAATACAAATTAGCTCATCCAGAGACTTTCTAATTGTATCCTGAAGTAATCAATTGAAATAACACTCTATTTTTATATTATCATTACTCTTTTACAATATCTTGATAATCAAAAGTGTGTGTAGTTCAAACCATTTTTAAATGTTGAAGTGAACCACTCATTTTAAATCAACTGTGAAACCTTATTAATGATTTTTTAATCCTCATTCAAAGTAGAAATCAAGTTAAATGTCTATGTTACAAAGTAATTATGCATTTTTGGTCTTCTGTCTGAAATAAGAAGAGTGATGTCAGTCAAAAGTCGGAGACAGTCGCAAACAAGTTGTTGGAACGAGCTGTCGTGTTTTTAAAACTCTCAGACAGTAAATAAGAGAACGGGCACCTGCGGTGTTTCTCACTTCGTCAAAACATTTCTCTGTCTGTCCCTAAACATTTCTGTTCTTTTCTTGACTTGTAAAAACCCTTTGACGTCACTAAAACCACACCCCTGTTGGTTCCTTCAACCAATCAGGACTTCCTAAAAGTGACCGGAAGCAGAACTCTTTAAAAGTCGACACTTCCTGGAACTGTTAGTTCCATTAGTCCCTCTGAGTTCATTTAGTTCTGCTGGTTCTGATGGAGTTCTTCTGGAGTTGCTCTGAGTCTTTTGAGTTCTTCTAAGTTTTTCTCAGACTCTGTCTTCTGAGTCGAGTTGGGATTATGGAGTCTTCCACATCTGAGTGGAACCTCTGATGGACTTACAGCTTGCTGTGTTTCCACCCGGGAGATGAGCGTGTTGTTGAACGGAGTACCGTCAATACTTTGGACGATTCTCAGCCATCCTGAGGAGACGCTGAAAGGTAGCGTTGAAATGGAACTCCATACCGGAGCTGACCTATCTTCTACAAAGGTAATGAGTCGCTTCACTACCGAGTGTACCGAGGCTGAGCTGGGGTCGGATGAAGGGTGCCATTCCTCGTCAACACACTTTCTTCATCCATCTTTTCTCTCCATTCAAACTCCTTCATTTCCCATCTTTAAACTTCTATCTTGCCAGTAATTAATCCAGATGCCTTCAGAAATGTCTGTTGTTTTTATTAAGTAAAACATGCCAAGTTTTATTAATCAGAACCAGATCAGTCTAATCAAGTGTACAATGTTTTGATGTTAAATTTTGATTCTGTTAATAAATGACCACATTCATTTTGATGGGTCAAAGAAAATTGGTGTCTCATGTCACTGATTAAACCATCTACAACACAATACCTCTGTCACATATCTGTCAAGTAGCTCGAAAAAGAGAGAACCTGTTATTAAAATATGACTGTAGTGGAGCTCTGAAGCTAACCAAGCTAATCGAGCCTTTTAGCACACTACAAGAGAGTGACGGGAAGATGGAAGGAGTACTTTCAGGAGCTAATGAATGAAGAGAATGAAAGAGAAAGAAGAGTAGAGGTCATGGAAACTGTGGACTAGGAAGTGGAAAAGATTAGTGAGGGTGAAGTCCAGAAGGCTCTGAAAAGAACGAAGAAGGGGAAGGGATTAAGACCTGATGACCAGTGGAGGTTTGGAAATGTCTTGGAGAGATGGCAGTGAGGTTTTTGACTCAAATATTCAATGGCATATTTGAGGGTGAGAAAATGCCTGAAGAATGGAAAAGAAATGTGCTAGTGCTGTCAAGTTAGGTGGATGAAAAGGGGTGAGGTCAAACTGCAAGTCTGGTGGAGGTGGACATTTGAAACAAAGCAATCTTAATGAATGAATGAGCAATAAAATAATTTTTGTGGGTGTGCTGATTAAAATAAAGATTTTATGTCTGTCTGTCAAGGTACTGAAACAATCAAATGCTATTATATTTTTTGTAATCAAAAGTT